AGAGAACAAACAGGACACAAAGCGTCTAGCTTTCTTTGTGCTTCCTTTGCTTTTTTTTCCTCTCTAAACCTCAGGGTGTCAGTTGTTCCAGGCTGGTTCATCCTCCACACTGGATACAGAGGAACCAGAGGGACCCTGTGTGGCCGAAGAACGGCCAGGAGGCAGCCTCTCAGGTGAGATTGAGTTAGGTGGTGACAGATAGGGACCTGGTTGGGGCATAAAGGGAACACAAAACTTGGGATGGCACTCCTCACACTTTCGTTAGCCTCAGCAGAGACTCTAGCTTTGACTTTATTCATTTTGTTACTTCTTGCTGCATAATGAACGCCTCTAAAACATGTCACCCAAAAGGTTACACATTTGTGGTCTGTCAACTGACTGAATTCAACTCTGTAGCTCTTCTACGCCTTTTTTTGTGGTTCTGAGGGCCACACATAAAACCCACCGTCATCCAGGGGCCTGTCTAGGGCTCAAATGTCCCAGCGGTCCTCCACACACTGCCTGGATGACACTGGCTCTCAGTGGAGCTGAGTTGAAGCAGTGGCCATCAGTTTTTCTTGTCTTTGGCCGGCTTTGGCTTTCTCACAGATGCCGCTGGGTTTCCTGGGGAGAATCCCAGAGGGTTAGCACATACCATACTTCTCCATGTTTCCTGTTCATGCTACTGTTTCATTGGCCACGGTTGATTCCAGGGCCAAGCCAGAGACTAATGATGGTTCACTGAGGGCCGTGGGTAAACTGAATGACTTACCAAGGCTCATTTGGTCCTTACCGGTGACAGACATGTCCCCTGAATCCTCATAGTTCTTTGCACCCTCCACTGCCAAGTTGAAAGACTGATTCATATCCGAATGCATCGAAGCAGGTAGGAGCCTCCTCCTCACCATTGGGATCTCTGCCCAGAGTAGAGTCACATGGTCACCTTAACCTCCAAACACCCTTCCAGTGATGGTCAGCAGTGAGCTCAGCAGACATTCAGGCTTCAAGAAGAGTGTGCACATTGGGAGGGGCCAGGAACAGATACTGGGTCTTGTGAGGCTTGAGATAACTGCACTCAGCTGCTGCTCGATGTCTGAGTTGTAAGGCGGGACGTGTCAGCGTCCTTATCTGACGCCCCTTCCCCTGTGCTCAGCCCTTTGGGCCTCACGCTTTATTTTCTTGAGTTCTGCTCGCCAGGTTCTGTCTCAGCCTGGGAGGTAGGACTGCTCACATCATTTTGGCTTTGTTCCAGGCAGCACCGGGCAGCGGGAAAGCAAAGGAAATGTGTGTGAGGAGGTCTCCATGGGGGACGCACTGATGGAGAGACTTTCGGGGGATGTCCCTGTCGATACTGCCGAGGAGGAGGGGGGGAGGCTACCCCAGAAGGCTCTGGATGCTGAGGATGAGGATTCAAAGCCTGCCGGTCCCCAGAGGCAACCAGTTATCCCGCAATCAGCCCGGGACGAGGATACCACGCATCAAGGCACTGGGACAAAGAGGCCCCATCCGGATGATGAGGATGAAGAGGAGGACCCCGAGTGTCCTTCCAGCGCCAGCAGCTATAAGCTGCCGTTTGAGGCTGGGAAGGTGCTTCGCGTGGATGGGCATGACTCTGGGAAGGACCCGGGAACTTCTGCGGGATGCCCCGCAGCTGATGAGTGTGATACGTCCCAAGGGAAGCCCTACAGGTGTAGGGAATGTGGGGAGACCTTTGCGTGGATCTCGAACCTTATGGAGCATCACGAGAGCCACAGCACTGAGACGTGCCCTGTGAGCCAGGACTGCTAGGAATCCTTTCAGTTCAGCCTGGCTGTGGGTCAAGCCTAAGAGGCATATACAAAAAACAAACAAACAAAACAAAACAAAAAACAAAAAGCCACGCCCAGAGCCCCTCTGCCACAAGCAAAGCTCACAGGCGAGAGGATTGACAGCTCCTAGTGTGTGGGTGGTTTTCCCTGTTCAACCGGAGGGGTAAGGATGAGCAGCTCTGCTGTGAGTATCCCGTGGCGTGACAGTTGTAGCATGAGCGATCCTTGAGGCTCACGTGTGGTGGCAGCTTCCTGTGGTGTCTACGGGCACATCTGGGTTTACTTTCTGGATGCCAATGTGCTGAAAGCAACTGGAAGTGGGCATGGCCCATAGGAAGCCCTCATCTTGGAAACACACCTCCCGTTAACGTCCTGTCCTGTAAGCCATCGGATGGAAGGGAAAACTCCTTTTACGTAGTGTTTTAATACAACACATACTCTGGTCATTTGACATTGTACAAAGTGTGGAGTTGCCTTCAAGCATGCGATCCGTTGGCGCTTTCTTGAGCTTTTCTCGCCTCAGTTGCTTCTCCTGGAGATCCCTGTTCACACATAATTCCCGCCATCTATTTGGCCTTTTTTTTTTGTAAATATGCGATGTCAGGTTTTACTTCTGAGTCCTCAAGAGCAAAAGCTCCTGAGTTCAAGTCCCATGTCTTTTAATGTATGCAGTCGTTTGCAAAGATCACAAGCAATGTTTATTTCAGACTGGGTTTCAACCCATTAGTGTGGATTGTGAAATCCAGACAGCGGATGGCCACTGGCATGACAAAGCAGAATAAAGTAGTAAAGGCAAGTATTGTCTTGTGAAACTTCTCAGCCGTGTATCTAATATGAGAGCTGGCTACCATGTTAAATGTATTTACTAGGGGGTGTGATCAAACCGGCTTTAGAAATACTAACAAAGGTCAAAGAAAAGTTCTGTATCTGAGCTAAGAGAGCCAAACGTGGCCTACATAGGTGATCTCATGGTTTTGCTTTAACTTCGGATTACAGCATTGTTTCTGTTGCCTTACCATACATTTAATTGCCCTGCAGATACAGACAGGTGTCTCTTTCTAAAGTTTTGAAGAGGCAATTTATGTAGCCCCCCAATCAGAGGCTTACCCTAATAAAGGATTTATTTCTTCATTCGTATTATAGCTTATTGTTTTGGGATTGTGCAGCGGCTTCTTGGGGTGTTAGTGACAGGGACATTCTTCTCTCTGCAGTGAGTCTGAGATTCAGATACCATCCCTGCTGTGGCTTTCTTTCCTATGGGACTCGTAGAACATGTGAAGTCTGTTCCCTTTACCTGGGAGACAACTCAAATCTCTCTCCCTCACCAAGCCTTAGAACAGTGGTTCTCAGTCCGTGGGTTATAACCCCTTTGGGGGGTCACATACCAGATACCCTATCCATATATTTATATGACAATTCATCACACTAGGAAAATTACAGCTAGGAACTAGCAACAAAATAATTTTATGGTTGGAGGTCACCACAACCATGGCCTTAAAGGGTCACCTCAGTGTTAGGAAGGTTGAGAACCACGTCCTCAGAGAGAACGATCAGATGGCGTCATCACATATAAGGATCCTGGCGCTGCCTGTTTCACTCTGCTAAGCTGAGCTAAACTTGGCTGTGGTGAAAAAGCCTAAATGTGTTTTCCTAACGCCATTGCAGGTACAGACCTGCTGTCATTGAGAGATTTTCCGGTGCTATATCCTGGTACTCAATCTCTTCCGTTTCTTTTGTGTAAGTGAGCCAGAGGGAGGTCTGTGTTTCTATTCTAAAGTTGAACTTCCAGGAAAAGAACAAAAATAATGACTACAAAGGCTATCTGTGCACATCTTACCCCAGACCTGCTGTGACTAACAGTCTACCCAGTGTGCCCTGCTTTGCGTGTGTACATACTTCCTCCTCTATCTGGAGAGTGTTTAATGCCCGTGTGCCTCCGCTTGTGATAACTGATTTGCTTACCTGTTTAGAGTGTTTAGCAATATGTGATAATGTAAGTATCCTACTCTTTTGTTTTGGTTTTTTTTCGAGACAGGGTCTCTGTGGCTTTGAAGCCTATTCTGGCACTCGCTCTGTAGACCAGTCTGGCCTTGAACTCCCAGAGATCCACCTGCCTCT